GGGAAGGGGGGGTTGGGGTTAGATGTGAGGGTAGGTGGAGTTTTTGGAAAATGTTTTCCTAACTATTTTTGTGGAAGGTATTTTTCTCCAATTTCAGAAAAATGTGATATCTAAGAAAATATTTTTTAAACTATTTTGTGCAACCAAACAGTGAAAAATGGGAAAACCGTCATACCGAACACACCCTAAATCAAACGTATCATCCCATGCATATAACTTTCTCTTCAACTGGCTCTGCACTTGAATAACAAACCAAGTGAAAAGCTATTAGTACTGAGTTTAAATCCTTAGAAGGGATCTTTACACAAATAACCAATCATATTCATTGTTTACTTTTTTTAGTCATATACAAAAATTATATATTCATTATATATAATTATACATATAAAATACATAAATTATGCATACCCTATACTCCACGGGCTATTTTTACCGGCTATTTGGGTTAATTATTCATTCTTCTTTTAACTGACATAAACTTATCTCTTGAAATTTTATTTATTTGCGTAAATACAAGTGGAGGCTCTACATGCAAATGAATTTGTCTCTCCAATTTCTAATTATGGAGAAACAGCTAAACTCTACTTGGGTTAAAAACATACATTAATTAAAACAACTATTCCTAATCATACGAAATTTATCCTATGTAAAGAACTAAATTTATTATTTTCTTGTATTTATTATTTAACCTTTTTAATAGAGTACAAAACTTTATGATTTTCCAAAAAAGTACTTTGTCCGTATTTATAATTTTATTCAGTATAAAATGTACTTAAATAGTAAAAAACGCGATCGATATTTCTCTAAAGGATTCACACTTTTAAAATATTGACTAAGATGGTTGAAGACTTTTATATATCACATTTTATTCTTCTATTAAGTTGGCTTAAATAAGATCAACAATTATCATCTTAAGGAACTTAAACTTACCTTTAATTTTTATTTTATAATTCAAAAGCAATTTGTTAATATAATATTTATGTAAATTTTAAAAATTATATACTTATTGAGATAGGATACACGTGCAAGTGTGCGTACCCAAAGACAAGTAATCTTAATTATGCCTCCTACGTTCCTCGTAATGGATCCATATTTACTAAATATAACGATAATCCAATATTAAACCAAACTGAGGAATTACAACTGATTTATGGAACAAAAAAAATGGAAAATAAGAAAAGGGAGGTTCCGGATTGCTATAACAAAATAGCTAATGAAAAGAAAAGACAAGTTCTAGCTTAGCCTAACAACTACACACTCCTGTTATTTATATTTCCTCTATTTCCTTCAGCACTGTAATATTTTAATGAATTTTCTCAACCCGGATCCCACATCACATATTGGTATTTACTCAGTTTAACAACTGGCCCAAATACCAGCCCAATAGTATAATTGGTAAAAGGCATGTTCATAACAATACTCCCACCCTCAATAAGAACCTTGTCCTCAAGGTTCGAGTTACGGAATTTGCTCTCAAGAATTGTCTTTGCTTCATTGTGCATAGGCAATATATCATTAGAATTCAATTCACTCCAAGGATGCCTCAAAGCACCATCTGCAATAATTTGACTATAAGGCAAGATTAAGCCTTTTATAGTGAAATACATATCTCCCGTGTCTTCCAGATTCAAAGCAAGCTTCTGTCTGCCATTTGTAAAACCAGTAAATATAGTTTGAAGCAACAAGACTCCAACATATGCTTTTAATCCATGTAAGAGAAATAGTACAAGGAAGAACATCAATAATTGGGCATTTACTTCAACAGGCTCTTCCCACACAACATTCATTCCCTTGGCCTTGCGTAATGTAATATGAATATAAATTGTTTGCCTTTGATATCTGTTCTGAAGGAGCATTGTAAAACCTTGCAAGAAAGCCCATTTCCAAGGTGATGTAGAAGTGTCAAAGAAATTTAGCTCTTGTCCATAACTCTGCATATTTTCCTTATTAGTTGCACCACAGCAGCAACTCATCCAATCATCAAGATATTGTTGATCTTCACTCAATTTACACAAAACGCAGTAACCTCAACCTGTTGAGCTTGTAGGTAGCAACACACAGAAAATGACACCAATGAGGAAATTAGGAAGACTCAACTTTCTGCTAAAGCAGGTGGTATAGACTCCACAACAATTGACAAAAATAGGATCATTCATGACAAAGACAAAAAAGTAAGCACTATGGCCAACTTGTCTTTGGTAAGTACTGCCATATCCCATCACGTAACTTGTGGCTCTTGGGATATCTCCTAGAATGTAGTCCACCTCAATAACAATATCAAGCGTTGACATTGTTTCCAAGAGCAAAGCAGCAAACGATAAAGCGTCTGAAAATGCAGGGCTAGATATGGCAAGCATGCTCAATGTAGGTTGCAGAATATTTTTAGCCTTCTTGTTGGACGGTTCAGTATCCCATTTGGATTTCAGTTCAAGCAATGCAGATGAATCAGTAACTCCAAACTTAGCTGTAATTAAGTGAAAGAGGTCATTGCTTGATGAGTTTGGATATATCAATAGGCACATGAGGAGACATATATCACAACTCATAGCTATGGTATATAAGGACATCACATAAGATATTGTCACCTTTGTGGTCACATAGGTTATATTCCTTGTAGCAGACATAGATTCAGGACATGGTAAATTTCCATAGACACCATCTTCAAAAGAAGTAGTAGCACCCTTAACCTTATGTGCCAACAATTTAAACAAATATGCACCACCACAAATGGGAAAGAGGCCATTGAGCTGCACCAGTTTCAAATAAGTTGCACAAAATCCTGCATAAAAATATTGATCACTGTCATAACCTTCTGCAATTGTTCAGCCACAATAGACAAGTTAGCGATGCCCAAAGCAAGCTTTCTAGCAGGCAATGTCCTCAAGGGTTCTACATACGTCAGTAATGAACAAAACTCTTCAAAAAGTTCAGCGACCACAATTATGTCAGCATGACATGAGGTAAAGCACCAAGGTGCAATAACAATCTCACGACAAATAAAGTAGGGTGGTAAAGGTTTCCTAGCAGGCCAGATTCTATATCAGACCAAGATCGACTTGAAACTTCTCTGTGCTTCCTATGACATAAAACATGTATTAAGGGGTGTGCATCTCGCAGATGTTGGAGCACAGCTTTTGGTGCCTCGAGTCCTCGTGAAATGTGGTCTGTATGAGTTATCAACAGATGGATCTCAGATTCAGATTGAAGAAAAAATAAACTGAGGATTTGAGAAGTGAATCTTGCTTTGTCTTCAACTAGCAATCTGGGAAGCCCTCTGCCATCAGCAACAAACAAGTTGTTTAATATGTTGTGGTCGTCGTCATGATCAAAATCAGAAAGTGCACATGAAGGACCACCATCTAGTAACATCCAAACAAAACTATCCAGTATTCCGTAAGATGCACAAGAATTTGTAAAACTATCACTCTTTTTACCACCCATGTCAATTCCCCTTGAATTAGCCTTATATCCTTGCCCATTATCGAATCAATTGTCCACACAGCAACAAATAGCAAACATATAGTAATGGTTTAAGCAGATAGCAGTATGCCCAACAAGTATTCGAGCAATGCGAAACTTCTTACTGGGGAACTCAATTTGGTTGCATTGTCGGATATCAAAGGAATCACTTACTTGACCAGTATCTACCCACTTGCAATTGGGTAGTCTAAAATCAGGTGGAAATGAAGCAGTAGCTCTATTACAACCATAAAATATTATTGATGTTACCCAATCCGATAGTGTATAGAAAACCATACAGCCAAATTCCATGTCAAGCTCCTGTATAAATTCGCTGACCCATAATTTTCCTTCAACTTTGCTCATGCAAATAGCAGTATGACTAGCACAAGCTCTTATTGCACTGTTCGCGATAGTCTCAATACCACCCCAGGGCGACTTGGTGTCAATTCGTTGTAAGCTTTCAACAAATAACTTGTCCGTAGGGCTTGAGTTTCCATTTTTCCACTCAGATTTAACCATAGGGGTAAAGATATTGGCAACGGATAACTCATGGAGGAACATCCTGGAATGGTCGCACGGTTGGGACATTGTGTGTAACAGCTGGCCTGCAGTAGACACCATGGATTTCTCTCCCAATGCCATTGTTGATAGTGGTGTAATACATGGAAGATTCAACTGAAGACTATTATCAAACACAATTTCTATACTGTCAAACACACGTCCAGTTACTGAACCGGGATAAAATGGAAAATGAAGTAACATATATTGAGCAACCACCTTCTCAGAGATTAGACTATACCGAAACGCTCCACTATAGTCAGGCATTTCATCGAACAGTGAGGAAGCAACACCAGATTTCTCAAGGTCTGTGAAATTAGGGGCAATGGACAGAGATTCATGCCGCTTAATTTCTGACTTTGTGTTTCTAGTAACAATCACAAGTAGCTGCGAATTAAGATTTGTCGTCACGAAATCTTCTTCCTTTGTGGTATTATCGTCCAAACCAGAGTTCAACTCAGAGTAAATGACGACTGCATCAGAAATATTTGCAGATTCAACAGACAAAATGACAGCAGCACTAGAGTGCTCAAACTCTAATAGGCTGGGATTTTATTTGGTTTGTGGATCAACAAACACCTTGGAGAAGCAATGAGGCATTTGGTCGAACACCAGGGTTGCGGTCATGTCTGAATAGATATGTACTGAAATTGGAACAGCCATATTAGTCTCCTCATCGATTATTTCAGCAAATATAATAGAGTCGCAACTCATGTTCTGCAGTAGTGATTGATCTGGAGTTGGAGGTGGAAAAGTGGGGCACGGGGATGGAAGTGGAGTCGGAAAAAATGGTTGTTGGAATGGGTATCGAGGAGTTGGAAAAGAAGTCACCCAGTTGGTAGAGGAGGGACAACGAGAGCACTAATATAATGGATCCATATTTACTAAATGTAAGGATAATCCAATATTAAACCAAATTGAGGAATTATAACTGATTTATGAAAAAAAAAAATAGAAAATAAGAAAAGGGAGGTTCCAGATTGCTATAACAAAATAGCTAATGCAAAGAAAAGACAAGTTCTAGCTTAGCCTAACAACTGCACACTCCTGCTATTTATATTTCCTCTATTTCCTTCCGCACTATAATATTTTAATGAATTTTCTCAACTCGGATCCCACCTCACATATTGGTATTTCGTCATTTTAACAACTGGTCCAAATACCAGCCCAATAGTATAATTAGTAAAAGGCATGTTCATAGCATTCCTCTTCTGTTCCATAGACTATAGTCAGTTAATATATCCTCAAAGTCTCTACTAGATGGAATAATGAAAAATGTCCGTTTGTCTTCCATGAGAAATTAAGCCCAAAAGTCATGAGAAAAACTGATCCTTCATGCACTTTTAATATTCAAATTAAACTTCTAAGATGCCAACTAATTAAGTTTATTAACCTCTTGAGATCCTCATAGAAGGTTAGTTAGAATAGTGGCTGGTATATAAATCTTACCTATATACATTGACTATATGAATACTTTTAAAGTGTCAAGTCTTGTGATTGCTATAAATATAATAATAGGTTATTTGCTTTGTTATATTTACCTGCGCTAATGGACAATTTCAGCAGATCATATATGTAATATGGTCATTAATTTGGCTTCTTCTTAAGTGGGGGGTAAATTTTCATTACATTTGTCATGACATAATATCCACTATAACAAAATTTGTGGATCATGACATTTGTTATGATATAATATCCATTATTAGGCCAAGGATTTCTTGCTATAAATAGAGGAGCTTCTCCTCATTTGTAAACACATCAATTCAAGAGCTTTTCACTCTTGTATTTCTTTCTCCTCCTTTATTTCATTATACAATAATTTGTAAGAGAGTGGGTGTTGGGAAACACTTGTGTGAACCCTTTCTTTGAAGTGATCTTGTGAGGTTATTCTCTTGGGGTATTTGGGACTAATTAGAGTATTTACTCTAATTTTGTACTCTCTTTTGTACTCTTGTTGGTATAGTAAAATTGCTCCTCTCCGCTTGTGGACGTAGGTCACCTTGACCGAACCACGTTAAATTTGTGTCTTCTTTATCTTCTTTAATTGTCGTTATTATCAACTTGCATTGTCTTTGTTATTTTCATTATAACGTTGTTTGGCTAAATTCTGCACTACCCGGTAACCCGATCCTAACAAATTGGTATCAGAGCCAGATCCAACCGGGTTAGTTTAAATAGCCAAAATGACTCTAACAAATTCTTATGTTGAGAAATTTGACCTAAGTGCAAACTTCGAAATGTGGCAATTAAAGATGGAAGTTATCCTAATTCAGGATGTCTTAGATTTGGCACTGCAAGGAAAGGAAAAGATGCCGGATAAAATGACGGACGAGAAGTTTGCCGTCATATACAAAAAAGCAAAAGCATGTATTATTTTAAATTTTTCAAATGAGGTTTTGCGTGAAGTTGCAGCAGAAAGCTCAGCCAAAGTTATATGGGAAAAGCTTAAAACCCTATATATGAAAAGAACAGTAGAAAGTAGGCTTTACCTACAACAAAAACTCTACAATTTTCGTATGGCTGAAGGTACCTCTATACTTACACATCTTGATACATTCGATTCTCTTCTTATGGATTTAAGTAACATAGATGCTGAAATCAAAGATGAGGATCAAGCTGTGTTATTGCTTGTTTCCTTACCCCAGTCGTTTAAACATATAAGAGATATTATGCTTTATGGAAAGGATAATATCTCTTATAAAGATATCAAATCTATTTTGAAATCAAAAGAACAAATAGATAGAGATAT